TTCATTAAGGCATACATGTTCAGAACTTGCGCTTTACTGTTTGAATTTTGATGCATGTCTTCACTTGTCAAGAAAAGTACATTATGCTAGTTACACCCCATCCCCCTTCTCTCCCAGTATATTGAAGTTGTACTACAGATCTCTAGCTACAGTAAGCAGTTCTCCAAGGATGAGGAAAGAGAATGTACATACACATAGGAATTTCTTTTCCAGAGCTAAAATTGACATTTTATAAATAATTTCCGTGTTGCAAACTTGAGACTAAGAAATCACAGCAATTCAGTGATATGCATTTGGCATGAGTCAGTTTTAGTTCTTAGTGCTTTTCATTGGAAATGGCATAAAAAGTAAGATTTCTTTGAATTTTTTATGCTGTGGGCTTACAAGAGACAGAAAATGTTTTTCTCTTATAGATGCTTGGCAGTGCACGGCAGCAGAAGTAACGAAAGGGTCACAAACCCCAGCAGTACTGCCCAGGTCACATGCACCCTTAATTTTTAAAGAATCTAGAAACAACCTAAGCAGTTGATAATAGGTCATTTCTAGGTGATAAAGGGTATTTGATATGGAGTGCTGCTTTTCTTTCTACACCTAACATTTTTTACAGTCTTTTAGACTATAAAAGACATTTAGAGACTTTATGTTTTTAAATATGTAACAACTGGTAACTGAATTGCAACTCTTCTCTTTTTTTGATATTTGAAATTGATTTTGAGGTCTTAAAATTTTTCTTTCAAACTTTGTTAAAAAAATTATTTCAGTTCATTTTATTTCTAAGCACTTTCCATAGTCATTGACTTCAATATAAGTGCAATTGGAAATGCCAGAGGCAGCTACTATTAAGAGAGAGAGAGAGAGATGGAGAGATGATAATTATAGTAACTACTGCCAAAAGTGTGTGTGCATTTTTCCTTCTAACACCTTTTTATTAAAGTAATTTTAGGAGCTTTACAGTATAGCCTCCTTTGAATGGAAAAATTGGGAAACCTAGATTGATGCTTTAGAAATTTACTCTAGTCTCTCAGTGACCTAGCAGTTGATGTGAAAATATGAATTTGAAAATAAGTAGCATATTGGGTAAACTGTACTATACTCATGAAAGAAGCCAAAAAAATTATGGATTAAACTGAATTTGAAAATAATTGCAGTTTTGAGTCCTAAACCAGATTCGTTATTAAAATGAAATGATAGGTTCTTGACCCTTGGGTGTGCTTGGAATAAATATGGAACACAGTATTGTTTTTAAAACTATTTTGCTTTTATAAGCTAAGACAGATGTACAAAAAAGATGCAGTTTTTATTTTGTATTGGCAGCTTCCAAATATTTAGTATCTATTTCCAAGAGTTGCAATTAGTAAAGCAACCATGGTACTGAAATCTGCACATCCCACAAGCTAATTATATTTGCAAGGTCAGAGTGAATACATATTTTCAGAAAAATAAAGGGTTATATAAATATGTGTCTTCTACTTGGCTGTTATATCACAGTTTGTTGATCTGGAGTATAATGTGTACAATTCACAAATTTGTCTGATAACAGAAAGTGGTGTGTGATTGTGTTTATTTTACTAACCAGTATATTCACAGCAATCACTTCCAAATATCTCTCCAGTAAAGATGTGTTAATTACAAAACAGACAAGGTCTTCTATTATATTAAAGCTACTAACAAGAAGACAGCAGGAATCACACATGTAAATAGCATCATCAACCCCTATTTTAGTCCTCTGTTTTGATCTGTGAGTTGCGCATAGACCAAAGGTGCTATTAAAGACTGAGTGTATGAAATAGGCAGCATTATATGAACAAAATTTATTCAACAAGAAAACAGACCTTTAACATGAATTTAACAAGCCTGAGAAATTATAAACTATCATATGCTGCAGATTCATGCAGTGATAATAAACAAAAAAGGAAAGTAAGAGGTTTCCCTAAGCTAGCCAAACTGCTAATGGTTTTGTTATAAGCTGTCTACTGTTGCAGTGACCTCTGAAAAGTCTCAAGGCACTTGTACCAGAAAAAATTAAATGGTCAGGCTGGTGGATAGAGATTCAGTGTGGTGTATAGGAGTTCAGCATGGAAAGGAATTATAGAAGTCTAGCATCACATTCTTTAAACTTTTGTTTGGAAGTTTTTGTTACTACATATTAATGTAGTTTTTGCAAAGTTTTTGGCTAAATTACTGTTTGGATTTATAAGCTATAAACTGGACTGGTTTAATGTATGTATACTTTAAAACAAACTGTTCAGAAAATTCATATAGCTTCAGGATGGATTCTTTCCCGTCTCCTTCCCCATACCTTAATTAATCTTTGGGGGTTCTTAGTGCAGTATATTGTATCTAAGATTTCCTTTCTTATCCGTGGAGTGACCACTTTGCTGTCATTCTATTGCATCATGCTGTAAATACATAAACATGGAGAAACGCCTTCAGCTTATACACACCTCCAAGTGCTCACCAGGGCTTTTTCTTGAATCTTACTGTGGCATAATTAACACCTTCTTCACCCATTGCTCATTAGTGCACTGGACATTAATGAGTCTATTTTGATAGGTTGCTCTAAAGGAGGAACCCACTTATTCTCACAGTGCAAAAGGCAATTATAAAATTGTACAGAAATTAAAATGTACACTATATTGCCATATTTATATTTTTATTGCATACTAAATCTAATTTTGGTCTGCAGGTTGCTGAACATGTTAGTTTCCTTAAGACAGTTGCTATAGCAATGGCAGCAAATTCCTTTAATCTTGGTGTAAAGTATTCTTTTCTGTTGGCTATCATATCGCTCCTGAGGAATTGTCAGTCTAAGCATGTTATTTCACATAGGCCATCATTTATTAGTTGAACAGTATATTTTTAAGTTTTTTCTCATTTTTCAATAGAATTTATTTTTTTTGTTTTAGATAGGTTTCTAACGGATCATAATACCTACTTAGCTGGTATTTCATTTCCTTTTTATGAAGTTTCACACCTGCTTATAATATTCCAGAGAAATATTATGGGGGTTTTTGCATGTAAAATAGCTGCCTGCTGTTTTAGTTTGAAAGTGTTCAGTATAAGACAATATATAGGCATTTTGTTGTGATATATGATGGAATTTTCATAGTTTTGTAGGACTGGTTTTTTTTTTTTTCCTACAAATGATTTTACTGAAATCTTAAAATGGAATCAAAGTATTCTAAGAATAATTAGGCCAAAATGATGCTTTACTCTTAAATTTACCTCAATCTTTAAATGGTGGTGGTTCTTAATCCTGCATTTATTTAAGTACATCTATTAAAATGGTCACTTCTCCTTTTGCTTACATTTTAATTTTATTTTAGGGTGCTTTTTGGTAGAAAATTTTACTAAACAAGTGTTTGAAATTATTTATGATGATATCTGATTAAAGCATGTCTGATATTAGTAACTTTATTACTGTTTTATGAAAATAAATGCTAAAAAAATGTAAGTATAAGCAAGAAGTATTAACCCAGGCCATATTTATTTATATATAAATATGAAAGTTAAGTCTGAATTACAGTTATTGTATAAAAAGAAAAAGGAATTTTCACAAACTATTAAATCATGTATGTTCCGGAAATACTTGGTTTTATTTTGAGGCAAGAGGACTCTGGGGAAATTCAAACTGTTAGAAATAAAAGCAAAATTTCAAAGTTGATTTTTTTTGGCCTGCCAGAGTGGACACTTGTAATGCTTTAGGTCTAAGTTTATATCTTTTGTACTGTTTGTTGACCCTTTGTGGTAGCCTTTTAGAAAGGGTGACTTTTTTTCTTTCTTTAGGTCTTGTTCTTTAGTATACAACATGTATACATACTTACTACAGACTTTTAAAACTTGATTAGATTTCATTTGGCTTGAAAATAAATTTGATTTTCTACCTCTTACCAAACTATACTTACTCAGCTGTACTCAAACTATATGGAAATGGGGAAGTCTAGTTGATGGTAGCTTTTATAATGTTAATAAATCTCAGTTAAAGCACTTTTATGGCAAATCTAGAAAAATGTATTATCCTGCTTTAAGATTTTTTTATGTGACAGAAGTATTGAGTTTATTCTCTAGGTAATTGATTTAATTTCCCAGAAAGAAGCATCTGTCTTAATGTCCCAGCGCTTTACATAAAACTTCACAGCATTTTAAAAGCTTTAACGAGTTCTTTTCAAATCCATGATAATGAACAGAAAAAGGTGTTTGGATAATATGTGATTCTTGTTAAATTTCTTAATATATAAGAGCTAACAGATGATACTGTATCATATAAGAATTTGAACTCTTTATACAGAAATATTGAATACACTTAGAAAAAGATGATACCTATTGTTACTTCTTTACTATGAACTTATGGCCATCTCAGTCTATACTATGTTCCTGGCTTAAAGCACAGATGACCTTGGTTTTCTTGTGTTTGCCTCCTATTCTTGACAGTGGCTTGGATATTTAAGGCCATCAGACAAGGTATAAAGTCTTTTATAGTCACAAGAAGTAAAAGGTATCTGACTAGAAGAGAATATGTGGAGCAAGTGCCTTGCTGGCTGTAATTTTGTTGTCATTTCAAGTACTGTGGTAGTATAATTGATGTGACAGGGCTGGGCTTTACATGTGGTCCCTTAGCTTGTGCTCACTTTCAGTTTTAGTTTCTCTTTGTCATTCATTTTGATTAGGTAAAATTTAGGTGACAAACATATGCACACCAATGGAGGCTGTTTGGTGTCTAAGTTTAGTAATGATGTATTTCAATAATAAAGATGCAAAGTTAATATTTTTCTTTACTGCTTCATGAAAATTGCAATAATTGGTGTCACCTTACATTACAAGATAGAGGGTGGTGTGCTGATGGCACAGTCAGCAGGAGGCTCTTTTTTATTAATATTATAATTAAATGATTTTCTGGAAATAGGCCAGAAACAGATGCAAGTTGATCATGCCTGTCCACTGTTGCTTGGTATCATCACTTGCTTTTTAAAAAGAATTGACCTGACACCTTATTTTTACAGGTTGTTATTGATGCCTTCAGATTGATCAATGCTAATATGATGGTCTTAGGACATGAACCAAGACAAACAACCTCAAATCTGGGTCATTTAAACAAGCCATCTATCCAGGTAATGCCTGTATTTGATAATGTGTTAAACTCCATTTTATATTTTAAAAACCTATTATAAATGGCCATTTTACGATCTAATACTTAGCATTTTAATTTGTTTGCAGTTAATTTTTCTTGTGCTTGAGAAGATTATGGAAACACTTGAAAAATTAGATTTGCTCATTTATGAGGCGTTTTTAATGGAGTCTTTAAACTTACCTAACATAGTTTGGGGATACTCTTTTTGGAAGCACAGTAGAGTGTTTTATCTTGAGAGTAACTTACGGCTTTGCATGGTTAACATTGTGGTAGAGGACTGATACAAGTTTTGGGTAGAGTGCATTGGGGTATCGTTATTGATTGGTTAGTAGACATTTCTCAGCATTAAAATTGGGAAAATTGATATTTCTGTCTCTTAAAGACAGAAACAGTTCCTTTTAAATGGTACTTAAAACTTTCTGCCTTTTTTTGTTTACTCTCCACATTTAAAACAAACCCTACAAAACATCTATATTATTACTTTTGATTCATTTATGTATTGTTCTAATAATGTCAACCACCATTATTATAGTTATGCAGGCATTTAATATCCTCCTGAGTGATTAATGTTTTTTTGTATCATTCACATGTCTCATTGTTTTTACACAAATCTTTATTGTCTGCAAAGATTATTTTAAATATGTTTTTAAATGCACCACAACCTGTGTCTATATAGTTAATTGCTTCTCTGAAGATTAATTAAATGGACAGAAATACCATGTTTGGTTAAATAGAACACATAGGACAAAGACATTATAGTAGCTATTGCTTCTTGCCTTCTGAAACCTGGCTCTGTCATATGATTGTCTTTGGGGAGTTGTGGCTTTGACAGTTAACCATGGTTAAGCCTGGGTTGCACTCTGATTAACTTTACACCTTTAGACACTTACTTTTGCAGCAGTCACTCATCTGAAATCTTCGTCAAAGTGAAACGTTTTGTTTCAAAGGATTGAGGTGTGTTGCTTTTGAATAAGATTGTTTTACAAGTCAGGGGAAACTGCAAAGTTTAATGAGTATGAAATAAGCTACCAGTGTTTTTGATTGGGTACAGACAAGCCCATGCTTGTATGTTCCAGGAGAATATATTATTGGACCTGTTTAGCCTGTGATAATGACCTTTCTTATAAACCCCCATAGTATCATACTACTTCATTATTATTTTTATTTTTATTTATTTTTTTTGTTTTGCCAAAGGTTAAATAGCATCTCACAATCCGAGATCATTGTGATTACTACATGGTATAGTTCTGCCAGAAGTTTTTACTAATTGCAAGTCAGTAGCCACCTGTTGCTGCTTTCATCTTTTACATGTAAACCCTGCTTTTTAACTTTATAAATTGAGTAAAATCAATATTAAAATCTGTTTTTTTTCCTACAGTAGTCCAGTTTGTATTTTTTAGTCCTACCTTATAGTCTATAACTTAAGGTGGACCTTATAAAGCAAGTTCCAAACCAAGTTAAAAGGACCTGTGTGTATAATAGCTACAGCGTCATTGTTTTTCCTTTCATTTTAGTTTGTTTTGCCTTCTAATTAAAATCTGTAAATATATTTATTTCACAGTTTATATAGTGCTCATCAGAATGACATCTATCTGGGTGCTTTACAGTTTTAAGACAATTTCAATACTAAAACACTTAAAAAGGACCAAGCCAACAAGTAACAGAACAAAGCCACACCTTAAAACTCTTTTAGTTTTCTAAGACAAGCTAGAAAGAAAGCAGCCCAGAAGAACCTGAAGTGGTGAATGGTAATATTTATAATAGAATTTTAATATATGTTAGTAGAATCTTTGACTCAGGGATTAGAAGGCTTTCGAAGGGGTTTTATTTTGAAGGAAAATTAGTTTGTGTTAAGAGGAGCCTTGCACCTAAGTCAACTTTCTAGTAGTAGGGATAGAAACCTGACAGCAACCATCAGCACTTAATGCTGATTGTGACTAATGCTTTCCTAACACTGATTTTTTACTATTATACTTATAGTAATGGGGGAAATTATGATTATATTATAGACTACTGTTTAATAATTTGAGGAAAGTTTAAAATGTATTAAGAAAAAGATTATAAAGTAGGATTTACAAGTTCTTCTCTTTGCAAATACATGTTTTATAAAATGTGCCTATCTATCTGTACAAAGATGTTAGTAATTATTACCTTTGGTGGTGGGATTATGGAATTCTTTTTCTTGTTTTTCCTTTTCCATATTTCTTAAACTTTCTACAATGAAACATATATTACAGAAAACGTTATTTTTAAAGCACTAAAACAATGTTGGAAATATCTACAAGACAAAACTAATAGGCAAAATTTATGTTAAGTATCATGTTTTAAATAAGGGAAGCCATTAATAATCCTGATAGGGAGGCAGAAGTATGATGCTTACATTCTAGACTTATGTTTTAATATATGAGACTTTGTATTATTTTGTACTTGGAACATTTACCATTATTGTCAAATGTATAGGATTGAGGGTTAACAAGCATTTATTTGAGTAACTAAAAATTTTGAACTAGTCCACTTAAGAACTGTTCAAAGCATTTCAGATCCTTAAGAGCCATAGTATATGTGAAGATTGGGTTGTCAACTGCATGGAAATTTAGTAACTGTTGATGCACAGATATATTGTACAAGGACTGTGAGCCTCTAAGTGTAGCCCTGGGTACAATTGCATTGTCTAACAGAGTTAAGCTCTTTGAAAAACATCATTTTCAGTACTTATTGAAAGTTATAAAACAGTTGCCCTGGAAGGAACCATTGTGGTCATTTTGTTGGTGAGGGAACTGAGGCCCAGAAAGTTCCTAATTTGCACAGGCTTTGTAGTGAGTTAATGTAGGAACTGGTATTCATAACCTGGGCTCCTGGTTCTTAATACTATATTTGGAACTTAAATAATTAATTTTAGCATAGATAGTATATTTATACAGTTCAAAATTCAAAAGGTACAAAAAGGTATTTAGCAGAAACTCTCTTCTACTTTTGCCTTTTGCAACCTAGTTCTCTACTCCCAAGGAAAAAACAAAACACATTTTATTTCTTTTCAGAGTTACTATATTTATATAAAGAAAAGTCCATTCATTTAAAAATATGATCTAATTGATATTATTTAGCTCCACATTTTCACTTTATCAGTGTAAATTTAAGGCAAACAAACTTATTTTTGGATCTGAATAAACACACCTTACTTTTTTAAGAGCATGGAACTTTTCTGACCTATCAAGAACCTCTAAAAAAGTTATTATTATAAAGTTCGTAAGCTGTGTATTTTATAATATGCCTGCTTTTCCATAGCAGTGAGTATATGGATATATAACTTTAACCTCTTCTCAATAGTCTGGGCAGTGTCAGTGAAGTATAAGGATAGGTTTTAGTTGTTTGTAGTTATTTGACACAGGCATTATATAGGAAGCCATTTAAGTAAAGGATCCTATTTTAGGATCTGTTGTCAACAATCCCTTTATATAAAATACCATCTTACACAATTCATTCCAACTTGATAGCTGACTGCCTCTCATAAACTGCTTATATGTTTATTCCATAGTTTCTGCCACCTTTGCTCATATATCACTACAGTTCTAAGTTTATTGCTTTTCCTTCTCACTATTATTTATGCTCTAGTGGTTTAGACAGTCTTGAACATTCTTTGGGATTAGGTATCTAGTCTCCCAAAGATATTTATAATACTCAAGTTCTATAAATCACATGAATGAACAAATACAGAAATATAAATAATTCAAATGGTGGTTGATTTTGAAGTTGATTTCACTGTAATGATTATTTATGTATTGTTTTTTTTAAACGATTTTATTTATTTATTCGAGACACAGAGATACAGAGAGAGAGAGCATGAGCAGGGGGAGAGGCAGAGGGAGAGGGAGAAGCAGGCTCCCTGCTGAACCAGGAGCTGGGCGTGGGGCTCGATCCTAGCACCCTGGGATCATGACCCGAGCTGAAGGCAGACGCTTAACCATCTGAGCCACCCAGGCGCCCCTATGTATTTGTTTTGAATTTGTCATACTAACAAAATTATGAAGCTTTACTCTAAAGATTAACTAAAGCAGCTTAGAAATAACCAGGAAGTTAATCAGCGGGATCTCAAAACTCCCCTTTGTCTGTGGTCCTCCAAACCATTCTTTATCTAGAATAGATAGCCCCTTAGACTGATAATGAGTTCCAACCTAGGCAGAACTTCCTTCTTGAAAGGTTGGCAAGGTTTGAGCGGAGAAAACAAGGGTCAGGATATACAAGAAGCAAATAAATAAGCTCACTGCTGTTGGTAAATTCAAAACGTATTGTCCTAGAAACAGTGCTGTAAAAAAGTGCTGATCCCGGATTAGCCGCTGAAAGCTTATTTAGTTCACAGTATATAATATTATAGAATATAATCAAACTATAAGAATGCTTCTATGAGAAACTCTTTTAGATTTTAAATAGCCATTTAATGAATGAGTTTGGGGAACATACCCTGTTTTAATGAAGAATTGCCTAAATTTTCCTAAGTCCATCATATGTTTGTTAAGTGTAAATTAAAAAGTTAAGAAATGATGTTTTAAGAAATTTCCTAGCTATATTTTTCTTTTATCTGCCTGACATACTATGCCATTTGCTAGTATATTCTGTTTAATTTGCAATTTGACCCCTACAAAAGGTTGGTTCTCCCTCTTGATAAAACTAATCTTCTATTTGGCATATGCTGCCTCAACTTGTTGACTAAATTGGTTAATTTGAGAGAATTTATTATTCACTGAGGCTGTGTTTTTTGGGCTCATGTGGAAGGAGGACTGTATATGGCCAATTGTGATTTCGAGTGTACTGGGGGTACACAGCCGGTGAGTAAGTAGAATTGGAAGACTGCTTGAGGATATCATTTTATTTAAACTTACATATTTTTTAATCATTATACCTGCTCATCTTTCATGCTGCCTGTGTTAGTTTTCCTGCTTTTATCTAAATAAGGTCATTAAAAATCAAGTAGGTAGTGCCTTCAGATACCAAACTGCATATTTTAGCAGTATAGTTAATCTTTAAAGTGTAGACTGTGGGCCCATTTATTGGCCACAGCTGTTACTAGCTTTATGGCTGCTATGTAGAATTACGTAGTCAGGGCATTGCACAAAGGTCCTTCAAAGAGGAGGGCAATTGGGAACTAAGATCTAGTGTAAGTTCCACTCTCCAGTCAGGCTTTATCCACTGGGAGGACTAGGTACCATCTTCTTCTAATTCTTCCACCCAGGGGACACACTTCCTAATTTACATAAATATGAGTACATATTAAGGAAGACCCTGATTAATTCTATTTGTTGATCTGCACAGCACAGCATTTCTGAGCACTGAAATTTAATTCACTACTCTTGATGATTATTGAGATGGATAAGGATTTAATAGATACACTTAGTACTTTAAATTTGTACATCAACCATTTTATTATAGCAGATGTTAGGATAAGAATGGATTGTTAGAGTACATACCTAAAATGCTTTAGTACTTGGTGGAGTGATTTTTTTGCTAGCATAGTTTTATTTTTTTATTTTTAAAGATTTTATTTATTTATTTGACAGAGACAGCGAGAGAGGGAACACAAGCAGGGGGAGTAGAGAGGGAGAAGCAGGCTTCCTGCCCAGCAGAGAGCCCGATGCGGGGCTCGATCCCAGGACCCTGGGATCATGACCTGAGCCGAAGGCAGACGCTTAACGACTGAGCCACCCAGGCGCCCCAGCATAGTTTTAAAATAAGACTGGCCATGCTTTATTTTTATCCTGATCCTTTAAAGTATAAAGACTTAATCCAAGAATTTCCTAAGACACATTGTGGCATACTATGGTAGAAAAAACATGGGCTTTGGAGTCAGAAATACTAGAGTTCAAATCCCACCTTTGCCTTGCTTTAAAACTGGGACAAATTAAGATTTGTGTTATGTTTTCTTCATCTGTCAAAATACAAATGGAACCAGCTTTACCAGGTTGTTATGAAGATTAGAAGACCTAATGTGAAAAGCAGATGCTGTGTACTCACTAAATGTTTCCTTTCTAGCCCTTCTTCTACCTCAACACCTTAACTGCTTCACTGTAAAAATCCAGTAATTAGAGAGTGCAGTGGTGGTTTTGGTTAGCTTTATCTTTATAGTTGAGCTAACCCTAAAACTTTTACCCTTTTGTTTTTATACTTGTTGAAAATAAATCCAAGGTGTATTTCTGTACTTTCATGTCTTACTCGGCTGATAGAGGATCCCCCAGAATATCATTCTGAACGCCATTTGAACATCTGTTGCTAGAGTTCGATATTTGAGCAGTTGTGAATGGATTACATCACAGGCAGGGTTATCGTTTCTTAATAAAGCCATGTCATTAGCTTGAATTTTTATTATGATCTGTTTGTCTTAGAGAAGTCAAGTGCAGTGGAAAAAATTCTGATTAGTGAGAAGATAGTAAAAGTGTTGTCTATAGGATATGTCAGCAGTTTCAGACTTATTTTTTACATGCAAAACATTAATTTGTCCTATATCTACTCCTTTATTTATATAGGCGTTAATTCATGGACTAAACAGACACTATTACTCCATTACTATTAACTACCGGAAAAATGAACTGGAACAGAAGGTAAGTTAAAATTTGTATCTTAGAGAGAGGGGAAAAAAAAAATCTTTTTCAGACCAATTGAACTATTACATAGTATATTTGAATTTGAATTGTTGACCTTGTTCATTGATGTGTTCAAATATTTTTTCATTCCTGATGAATTACAGGAACATAAAATAAAGGAATATTTTATTGGATATATTGAAAGACATTTTACCTTATTGGTAGGTGCTAAACAAGAAAATAAGTAGGAAACAAACATTTCTGTTTGATTTTATGATTAATTACAAAAATCTTTCTCCTCGTTCTGTGATTTTTCTGATTAATATATCTTTTTCCAACAAAATTACCTTTTGAAACTTTTTCCAAATTTGAAAGGAATAAATTAGATTATAATTGTGTAGTACTTAAAAAAAAATTACCCTGTTTATATAGGGTAAATGAAAGGTGAATCAAAAGGGAAATGCAGTAGGGTTTTCAGATATTTATTTATTTATTTATTTAAACTTAAAGTTTTTTTTTAAAGATTTTATTTATTTATTTGACGCAGAGAGAAAGACAGCGAGAGAGGGAACACAAGCAGGGGGAGTGGGAGAGGGAGAAGCAGGCTTCCCACAGAGCAGGGAGCCCGATGTGGGGCTCAATCCCAGGACCCCAGGATCATGACCTGAGCCGAAGGCAGTTGCTTAACCAACTGAGCCACCCAGGCGCCCTAGGTTTTCAGATATTTAAAGCTAGATTCTTACCCTTTTTTATACTAGGCAATTTTTAAATTTGGTTACTTTAAAAATTACCTAGCATCTTGGTGGCTTAGCATTCTTTTATTTCTACTATTTTAGGATTATTTCAACTAATACCAAATATTTCAGTCTGCCTATTGCTTTTTGAAATTACAATCTGAACTGCCTTTTTTTTTTTACTATTACAATTAGTCATCTTCCAAATTAGCTTCTTGTATTTCTCCCTGAGAAAGACTTAAAATAATTTTTAAGAACCCCGAGTACTATTGATAGCCAGTAAGTTTTGGTTCGTATGTGACTCTCAAGTCCAAACATGCTAAGTAATCAGGAGTAAATAAGACCTTACTTAACTGATCAAAACTGTTCCTCACAAAGGTGCCTTAGAAGGGAATTCTCGTGCATGAGGTGAATGGGAAGTGGGATGAATTGGGCTGTCCATATTGCCTCCTCTTTCAACTAGATGACCTCCACTTTTAATGTCATTTATATATTGTGCAGAAAGATGTGCTGTGTAAGATTTTCATTGAAAGAAGAATTCTGTTTTGTTAAGTTTTATAAACCATTGTTTTAAAAGGTCAAAGCTACCAGTCAGCTCACCCAAAGGACCTGTGTGCTTGAGCATGCTGAGTGAGGGGCTGCAGGTGCCAGTTCTTCCCTGACCCAAGGGGAGACACAGAGCCATAAATCTTTCTTCAGCTGTTTGCCTGTGTCCCAAAGTTTGTATGTGCTGTGGTAGATTTAGTTGATAGCTTGAAGTATATTTTCAACACTTATTTTTAATTTTTATAGAATAGGTACAGGCCATGAAAAAGAGCACCAGTCAGGTACAAACTGAACAATTTATTCACATTGTTTTTATCAGTCTGATATGTTATCAATCTGATATCTGACACCCAACTATTTGGAAATATCCAGCTAATTACATCAACTTTTCCCCCTTTTTGATGCCCCTAAAATTTACCATGATCCTTGGCATAAAAGATGCACACATAAATTCCTACATAATTAATGTTATGTTTATGCTCCTAGTAGCTCAGTTTAGGAGCTTTTATAGTACCAGAAGCCCTGCCTTTACTCTTACCCCACCAACCTGTATACTTACCTTCAAACATACTCAAGGCTCACAATGGAATCCTTGTTTAGGCATGGTAAGGATATCCTAATGCTCTATGGGAACTTTGGTTTAGAGGTGGTAGGAAAAATCCAGTTCTCAACACTTAACTATAGGTAGCTTTATAACATATATAGTTGCAGCTGCACCAGAATTTCCTGAAGATATATTTTCTAGAACACTTAACCGTTGGAGAAGAGGAGAAGCAGTCAAAGAAATTGGAATTACTTGTGCAGGATTTTTTCAGTTTTTTTGCAAACTACTCTTGTCCCTATGGGCCCTTGAATAGGAATGGAGGAATTTGGAGCTTTGTGTCTTGTGAAGTCTTATAGGTGATTTTTGAGATGGAGCTTATTCTCTAGCATAGAAACAAAAAACAAAACAAAAAACTAACTTTGTACCACACATAACTGCAAAATTCTAAGCAACTAGAATAGTTTTTCTAAACTAAACTCGACACTTCAGCTATATCTTCAGATCATGGCTCATGGATCTCACAAGACAAACTGGTCCTAATGGTAAAAGAACAATAATCTTTTTTTTTTTCACAAAGATTTTATCAGTCATTTAAAAAAGTTACTCAATTGTAAGTTCAATTAAAGAACATTTATAGAGTAATAAGACTACAAAAAACTGTCTTCGGACTCTAAACTTGAAAACTTAGGAACTTTGAGGAATATGTACTCAGAACGAGGAGTCTAGCTTGTGAAACAACGAGCTAAGGTGTTTAGTTCCATGATCACTAATAGGGTCTGATCCTAGTTTGCTGCTTTGATTGTAGACTGGACAAATCTGTGATTTCTTGCCCAGTTTCATGACTTTTCATTCTGACAGTGAGGAAGTTTTCATTTTAAAAATTATAGTTGGAATATTAGAATTGAAAAGAAACTTAGAGAGTTATGAGGCCTTAGTTCATAGATATATAAACTGAGGCTCAGAAAGATTTAAAAGAAGTCATTCAGTGAATGGGACATTTACCTCCTTATCATGGCCTTTGAAAGCTGGGCTATATGAACTATTAGAGACCTTGTGTGTAATGTAGTAGTTTCACTCATTCATTCATTCATTCATTTATGCATTCACCAAATGTTTATTGAATGTCTGCTATGATTAGACTAGATATTTTCTAGACTCTAGATCTTGGTGATCTTGAAATCAGTAGGTCAGAGCTCCTACCCTGTTGATTTTTCCTTAGTGAGAGAGAAATGCAATAATAAAGAAAACAAAAATTTCAAGTGTTGATAGTGTTATAAAAATGATAAGGGAAGATGGATGTTTAAGATAGTGTGAGGTGACTTTTGTATATAGTGTGGTGAGGAAAGGTGTCTAACTCTAAGGAAATGAGAAATAAAAGCCATGCACAGATAAGGAAAATAGCCTTTGAGGCAGAAGGACAGCAAGTACAAAGGCCATGGCAGTGGAATACTCCTGAGGTTATATTAATATAAATTTAGGAGAATTCTTATTCAAGTTTAAGTTAATAAAATTAAGTTTTAAATTCTTTCATTAATTCCAAAGTTTTTTTGTGACATTGTTTCTCAAGACAAGTGAAGGAAATATCCTCAATACAGGAAAATAATTACTTTTTCTTTATATTTTTTAGATGTTGTTAAATTTGCATAAGAAGAGTTGGATGGAAGGTTTGACACTTCAGGACTACAGTGAACACTGTAAACACAATGAATCAGTGGTAAAAGAGATGTTGGAATTAGCCAAGAATTACAATAAGGTGAAAGTTACTTCCAACATTTATTTTTCTTTTTTTTAAGATTTTATATTTATTTATTTGTGAGAGAAGGTGGGGAGGGAGAGAGCACAAGCTAGGGGAGAAGCAGAGTCCCCCCCACCCCCCCGAGAAGGGAGCCCAACGTGGGGCTCGATCCCAGGACCCCGGGATCATGACCTGAGCCGAAGGCAGATGACTAACCGACTGAGCCACCTAGGCGCCCCCCAAAATTTATTTCTTATAATCTTTGAAATATGTATGATTAGATGGCAAACATGGTATAAATATATACATAGTTAAAAATAGAGTGGCCTATTTTATAGATCAGATAGTAAATATTTTGGACTTTGCAGGCCATCCCGTCTGTTGGCAGCTACTCAACTCGGCTGTCAGTCGTCTAGAAGCAGCCACAGACAATACATAAAGGAATGAGTGAGGCTGTGTTTCAGTACAAATTTTTTTTATTTTTATTTTTTAAATTTTTTAAAGATTTTATTTATTTATTTGACAGAGAACAAGAGAGCACGAGCGGGGGGTAGCGGCAGAGGAAGAGGGAGAAGCAGGCTCCCCACTGAGCAGGGAGCCTGATGCGGGGCTCGATCCCAGGACCCTGGGATCAGGACCTGAGCCAAAGGCAGTCGTTTAACCGACTGAGCCACACAGGCGCCCCAATACAACTTTATTTAATAAAACAGGCAGCTGGCTAGATTTGGCCCATGGGCTATAATTTCCAACCCTGTTGTAGGCCATATAAAATAGTTTTACATTTGAAATTTCTTCCTTATCCAGAGGGCTTTTTCTTGGAAGGGAAAGGGAAACAAGGAGATGTAAGATAATAACAACAGCATTTATTACTTATACATATAGTTTACTTTATGAACTTTTCTTTTTTTCATTTAATAAGTGTCTGTTGAAAACCTGCTATGTGCCAGGCACTGGGGATACGGTAAGAAGCAAGACTTGTCCTCACAGAAATTAGTTTCTGGTGGGGGAAACAAAGTAAACAGCGAAACACAATATAATAATATATTGTGATTGGTGCTATAAGAAATAAATGGGATGATGTAAAGAATAACTAGGGGAGATCACTTTATATGAGGATGTTTAAAAAGTTTTATTTCGTGAAATCTCCTGAAAATATTTATTGTATGCTAAAATACATGTGGCCATAATATTTTTGCTCATAAATTTATATTCTTTTACAATTCTGAAATTAAAAAAAATACTTGAATTATGACTTAAAATGTATCTTCTGTGTTGTATTAGTTTCCATAAACTGGGTATTTTAAAACAAATATATTCCCTCACGATTATGGAGGCTAAAAGTCTAAAATCAAGGTATTAGCAGCCTCCAGGGGAAGATCTTTCCTTTCCTTTTCCAGATGCTTTAGTCCCAGGCTTTCTTTAGCTTGTGACAACTCCAATCTCTAACCAGAGTTAGGATTTCAACATATTTGGGGGGGGTACATAATTCAACCTAACATGTATTTTCCAGCTTTCTTGACAAAAACCCACATAAAGAATTGATTTTACATTTTGACCCAGAATATGCAAATGTATATGTGTGTATATATAGTTGCAACAAAAGTTTTACAAAATAATATTTACCCTTATTACATGTGATATGTTGTTGTCATTTGACTCAGTTTTATTGTTTCAATCATATATACATATTATATACACATACATATAGCTTACTGCATTTTGTAAAACACACAAATTATACAGTGTTTTGTTTATAAATATTTATTGAATATCTCCTGTACAAGTTGCAGTGGAAAACAGGGATCCTTCCTTCATTTATAGGAAAACAGAGGCAGTAAAAAAAATTCACAAATGACTCAGAGTAGTAGGCCAAAATTGGTGTGTTCCTTAACACCTTAGTATTCAATTTGTCCACAGACCAGCTGTATCAGTATCACCTGGGATCTTGTTAGAAATGCAGACTCTCAGACCTACTGAATGAGAATCTACATTTGATCAAGATTTCCAGGAGATTTGTATACTCATTTGTATACAAGTTAGAAGTTAGAGAACTGCCCTAGAGAAGTCTGTAGTGAAATTCTATAGAGATTCAGGGGCTTTTGCTTTCAGTTGTGGGAGACCCAGGATGCTGTCTTAGAGAATAACAGCATTTGAACTAGACCTTAAAGCTTGAATAAGATTGGACATATGGAGAAATGTTACCCTAGGCAAAATAAAACATTATGGGTAAAGACTAGGAGACAGAAAAGGCAAAGACACCTTTTAGGAAACTCTGTTTGGCTTGAGTATATAATATATGAAGGTGAATAGGGGAGAATAGTTTTTTTAAAGTTACTGAAGTCAAATAACAGGGCTTGGAATATCAGGATGGAGTTATTTTTGACCAGGAGCATGATATACCCAGAACCTGTCTCTAGAAATGTAATTTGACAACAGTATAAAAGAAGGAGTGTGCTGTAAGAGGAGATTTGAAATGGACGTTCTGTTTAGGAGGAGCTTGCTGTTACCCAAACAAAATGTACTAGGTATCAGCTTTACCACAGTGGCATTAGGAACAGAAACATCAGTAGACAAATAAAACGTGGCACCCGTTGGATGGATGAAGTGAAAGAAGGACGAATCGAGGGTGAATTCAGGGTTTCTTCCTAAGTGACAATAGGTATGTTAATACCATTAAAATTTTCCAATTTAGAAGTAGAAGGATTGAGAAAGGAGTTAGAGTTCTATTTTAAACAAGCAGTGGAAATATAGGACTAAAATTTAATGGTAGGGCTAGAGCTTAAGATTTTGGAGACAGTTAAAATTGATATTGGTTGTCACACCAAAAAGTAATATTTCTCTTTTTACATTAAACACATCTTACCAAAATAAATATTAGCCAAGAGACAGTATATAAAAAAAAATTTGCCACATGCAGCAAGAAGTCTTTGGAGAGAGTTTAGCTTTGAAAAAAATTGATGGGCCCATACAAACTAAATTCCAGCAGAATTAGGCCTGGCTTTGAAGATCATGCCTTGATGTATATGTAGTGTTCCAGCTGGAAATCTCCACTGATTCTAGATGATAGGGGGGAAAATTTTTTTTTTCATCTTTCTAGTATATGTTTTCATGTAGTGATATTAAAGAAAAAGAAGTAGTTTATCATACTTAAAATAGTTATTAACCTTTTACACATTAGTGACTTAAGTAATATTATTCAGCAGACTGTAGGAATGGTTTTCATTTCTCTGTAACATTGCAAGTTTAAGTAAATTCATATTGGTACCACTGCCAGGAAATAACCTATTTATGGTTACTGCTGCCCATCCACAGAAGTTTTTCCTATTTTACAGTTTTAAAAAATCTCTGTAGTACTCAAAAACTTGTAAGGTTTGGTTATAAAATGAAAACAATGTGTAAGCTGTGATATGAAGGAGTCCAAATTTGAGAATGTAATTCCCTCTGTGATTGAAAGAGAATGTGGTGGAGTTTTTAGTAACACTTAAAATATAAAAAGAAAGGCCCATGCTACCAATTCTTCATAGTATTCTTTTTAATTGGTTGGTGTTTTAAACTAAGGTAATTACCGTTAGGTGCCAGTTAGCTCCTAAAGTGAAAGAAGATTAGAAAATAATTAAATTCCTTTGTCCCAACTTTTCTATTTCAAGTCTGAATTCCACACAAAGATTCTGCTTGATTACTAGTCATTGATTTCTCTAATTACCGAACTACAACACCCACAATCTGTTATTCCAGATCTCCTAATTTATTCTACTAAGATGCATCAAATTTTAAAATATTGATAATATTTGATTGGATATTTTTAAGTGAAAGTGCAAGTGAAAAATGAATTGTAGAAGAGTATTTTAAGAATAACAGAGAGACATAAAAATTTGCCTTGTTTTCAAACATGTAGCCCTATAAATCTGAGATTTGACAGTGTACCTTTTAGATAGAAATAGTGCCTGCTCTATAACCTGAAAGAAAATTCAGGTATGGGGATGCCTGGGTGGTTCAGTCGGTTAAGTGTCTGCCTTCAGCTCAAGTCATGATTGCAGGGTCCTGGGATTGAGCCCCACATTGGGCCCCCAGCTCAGTGGGGAGCCTGCTTCTCCCTCTCCCACTCCCACTGCTTGTGCACTCTCTCTCTCTCTGTCAAATAATTAAATTAATAAACAATCTTAACAAATTAAAAAAAAAATTCAGATATATTTCAGAAAATATGTATTTTTTACATGTAAAACGTGTAATTATATGACTATGTTTGGCTTACTACAGTAGCTAGTTAAGTAGGAAAATGTTGTTTTATGCTAGTGTAATAAGATAAGAAAAACAAAATAATATGTAAATATTGGGAAAACCAGGCCAGATTATCATTACTTAAGTATGATAGGATATGTTTGCAATCAAACAGAAATCTAAGAGCCTAAACTAGAAAATTGTTAGAACTGTTACAATAGAGAATTATGTGGGTGGTAACCAAGCAGTTACATAGGCTGAAACCAGTTGAAAAATGCAATAGGCAAATCAATTCATAGCATCCAAAATTACCAAATACTTAGAAATAATTACCATAAGAAAGAAATGTATAAATGTATATGACTTATTTGAATGATACTAAAAACATTTGCGAATAGATTCCCTGGTTTCCAAATAGGAATATTCAGTATTGTAAAGCTGCTGTCAGGCTTCCTAAAGATTACTTTAATGCTAGTAAGAATATCAATGAGGTTTTAAAGTTTTGATAACTTGACAGTAAAGTTTATCTGCAATAAAAATAATAACTAACATTTATTGAATGCTTGTTAAGAGTCAGACTGGGAGAAAACATTTGTACTGGTAACACAGAAAGGGCTAGTATCCAAAAAATGCATAATATCCAAAGAATCCCTATAAAATAGTTTTAAAAAACAATAATTTGGACAAAAGAGCTAGAAAACTCACTGAAGAAAAGTGGCATATAAACATGAAAAGACAAGTCCAACCTTATTAAGTAGTCAAAGAAAAAAATTAAAATTATAAATAGAATTTTTTTTCTT